TTGGATCATTGAAGTGGGTGACAGCGAAAGTAACCTGAAGAAGGAAAAATTAATAGCAAATACGCGTAAAAGAAATAAAGCTAAATAATCTCGCACATAACAGGAAACAAGTACCAAAAGGAATCTAGCATTAATCATGTGGATCATTCCGGAACCAACCACGCTAAAGTAAGAAAATCTTTTTGTGCAAAAACTTTTTCTTATAAATACTTCTCTTTTGTTACGGTAGCTTTAGAGGATGTTGATGCATTCTATTTCAGCATATTAAAATAAGCAACTATGCAAATACCACTGGCATTATAGACTTAGTCCTAAAAGTACCATAGAAAAAAAAGGCATGTGACTAGAGTGAGAGACAGAGAGACGAATGAGAGATGGAGAATTGAGACATACAAACGATGTAAGTCCTTGCTTGAGAAATATTGTAGCAGGGACGAAAGGAGGGTCACTTTTACGAAGTACATGGAAGCAGTCCACCTGTCATTGAGACAAAAGAAAGGAAGATTACTTCCAAAAATTGTGGCAACTAACAAACCGACCAAATAAATGACATGAAAATAGCTGGCAAAACATTTGCTAATGATGAGCATTTGAAAGCATAAAGCATTTTCCATATTTCTATGCCCAGAAATACAGCTACATATAGACAACAGTTTAAACTTTCTTCTCCAAGCTCTTCCTTTCTCTTTGCAGGTCGGTACACAAATGGACATGAAAAAGAAAGGAAGGGAAAAAACAGAATGTACAAATACCACAATGTACATTATATAAGATAAGCCAGGTTTGTTCGATCCATTCAAGCCCATCCCCCAAACTACCAAACACAGCGGCCTAGTAATGAAAGGTGCAGAGACAGAAAGGCAGATGGAAGCAAGGATGGAAGGAAAACGGTAGGCAAGAAAAAGTTTTTGGTTCACTTGGCTACTGTCTTTCACTAAAAGCTGTAGGTCCTTCTCGACTTCGCTATCCACACCTGAAGAAAATCAAGTGGCACTAGCAAAGAGGTAGAGTTTATTCATGCTCAAAATAAAAAGTGCAGTAAAGCATATATACAAACTATTGAGTCACTCTTTGATACAAGAAAAGGGCCAATTATGGTGGAGTTCCAAAATAGTATGCAAAGTAGGAAATTTTATTACCAAGGTTTCCAAATAGTACTCAGGAGTATAGATGAAGACTGAGTCCTCTTTGCTAAGAATTAAAAGCAACTGAACAATCCACATGCATGCTGCATACACCCCCCTCTGCTTCCACCGAGAAAATAGAGAAACACGATACCTGTTAGATGATAGACAGCAAAAGCTAAGCTATACCTCCTTGAAAGCAGACAGCAGCTACTCATTTAATATGGAAAATATACTGATGCATTGGAAAATATACTGATGCATAATAGCCAAAACATTATTTGGAAATACAACAAAACATGCGATGATCATATTACCAAGCACAATGTCTGACACAATCCATTACTTCTTCTCTGTATACGCTACGAGCCTCCTTCAGACGCTTTACATGTTCCCCGCAAAATTTTTCTCTGATCTGCTTATCAGTTTCTTCTAGAAGAGAGATTGACTGTGATTGCCGAGACATATACGATGACGCCTACAATTGAAATAAGAGAATCATTCAAATATGATGTGAATCCATGAAACATGACAAGGAAGAAAGCGTTCTTCTGCAGCAATGAATTCAAGTGCCGTCAGAATGGAATAAGAAAAGAAAGGTCGATTGAACTGGCAGGACAGAAACATGTTAACCAAAAATGAGGGAAAATATCAGGAGCCATGTCCTCACACAAGAGAGAAGCAGATAGAACTAGTTCCGCACCTACTATATCAATCAAGTATGCCTTAATCTCATATTTGCATGAATCCATCAATCCCATATTTGCATGAATCCGTCATATGAATCCTCTATGTCCACTCCGTTCAATTTATGTCCATTCTATTCGGTATCAGAGAATTCATCATAGTTAGACTAATTTTACACTGGCTGTCAACCTACCCGAATCCTGCTCCCACTATTTGCTAGGGCCGTCAACCTCGCCACTATTTTGAAATCTACCATATCATGAAATACATTCTCATGAAGAGAGACAGCACGTATAACTGATCTGACATCCAGCACATAAAACATGAAATTCGACTTCTGGACATCTCCCTCAGGCAGTACACTATCAAACTAACATATAACACCTTAGCTAGAGGGAAAACAAAGATAGATGAGATCGCTAATCATTGCATAGGACATTAATTTCAAACAATCAGGACAACTTAGAAATATGCGATCATTAATCATTAATCATAAACAGGACATTATTTTGCAAGGCCAAATGTTGATCAGGTGGTTGCTTTTAATACTTTACTCGGGCCACAAAGAGGTGCAATGCACGTCAAAGGCCACTGCCTTAGCTTACGGTTCTGCAAAATAGCTTAATTAAACGCCACCAAAATAAATCCCTTCATTTCACGAAGTGCCAATGGGGAACAGCCAAGAGATCAAAATCATGGTGCCTTTACCTCATCTGCGCCACTCAAATATTATATGCAAAAAAGGTAGCTTAATCACTACATTTTATTAAGGGGAAAATCTAGTCACCTGCTTGAAGTTGGGTGCAAGACCTAAATGATACAGCAAGAGCATGGCATCAAGTAGCTCCTCTTCTTTCAGTGTTGCTGAAGAAACGCTGTTCTCTCTGGAAACATATCTCATTTGCTGCATAGGACGGAAGCCAAAGTCTGATTCAGACTGGTCACTTGTGCTTGGTTTATCCGCTATGTCATCGTTCAAACTACTGGTGCTGCATTCTGCAGCAACATGAGCAGACCTCTCACGAATAGAGCTGCAATGTCCCCGTGAACCTTTTGTCATGTGTCTAATAGGATCTTTTGATATTCTTGTAAAATCAGCATCATAAGAAGAACAACAGCATGGCTTATGCTTACTTAGATGTGTAACCCTATCTTCTTCATCGTCCATACACCCTTCTTCCCACCGAATCACTTCCTCCTGCTGCTCACTACTAATAGGATGGGACTTTGCTAGGTGATTATATGAACCACCAAGCCTAGGAATATCAACCCGATGAGGATCATTCTTGAGAAACAAGCCTACAGGAAACTTTTGCTGGCCTCCTCTGTGTAGGAAACCAACATCAGATGCTCCAGAGTCCTTCATCCAACCACAAATGTCCCCAAAACCTTCGNAAGTAGAGCAACAGCATGGCTTCTGCTTACTTAGATGTGTAACCCTATCTTCTTCATCGTCCATACACCCTTCTTCCCACCGAATCACTTCCTCCTGCTGCTCACTACTAATAGGATGGGACTTTGCTAGGTGATTAAATGAACCACCAAGCCTAGGAATATCAACCCGATGAGGATCATTCTTGAGAAACAAGCCTACAGGAAAATTTTGCTGGCCTCCTCTGTGTAGGAAACCAACATCAGATGCTCCAGAGTCCTTCATCCAACCACCAATGTCCCCAAAACCTTCAGACAAGAAATGGAGTATGACACTAAACACAGAAACAAGCACAGAATTGCTTGAAACACCAGGAGGCGGCAAATTTCGATCTGCACCCCTGTTTTTAAGTAGAATGTTTTGTAAAAATGTCCTGAATACAGAGCCAGGTAGCTGAGGAGGTGCTGTAGGTGGCATAAACTGCATTACCAGGCGGCAGAGGTCCCTCTGCTTCTCTTCAACCTGCAGAAGGAATAGGTTGAATTTGCTTGTGGATGAAGAAATATATAACGAAATAGCAAGCCTTTCTAGACTTTCTAGTAGAAGTGATGGGCATGTGTGATGCAATGATTCTTTGATGAAACATGATCAGCAAAAAACTGGTTGATGCACTTAGTACAGGAACCAAGGCAATTTAAAAAGCCAGCTATACAGAAGCTGGGCAAATAGATGATCCATATATACACTAAAATCCATCATATCATCGTCCAAATGTATGATTAAAAAAAGAGCAGCCAAGAAACTATAATATATTGAAAAACGTAAGACTTTAGCCACCCAAAATCATGCCGGACTAGGTGGTGCAGTATTGTTACTTACACAGCCTTATTGGGAAGATACGCACATAATTTAAGGAACTACATGGAAAAGTTTGAATACAAATGACTAATGACTTGGTGTTTTTAATCTAAAAATGCCACCTTTGCCAACAAAAAGACCAAGCAACATAAAAAAGAATTGTCAAGGCTCCAAAAGGTTAGATTTCTTGTCTGTTTTTATGTGCATCAGGGAGTAATATTTTTACTTAGATGTCCAATGCCAGCTTTATGGATGAAGATTCAGTACAGTTTCCTGAGCAAGTCGACCAAAACTTTTTCTCTTTATTCTGACAGGTGCAACTCAGTGCAAAAACTGGATCAAGTAGGAGAGCTACAATTCAAGTCAAAACTCTGGAACATCTGGCTGAAAGAATTGCAATAATTTCCAAATTGCTGGATGGATAAATGTTCCTATTAAACTTGATCAAGTGAGGAAATATCAGTTTTAATGGTCAAGTCATACTTTTGGCTGACCGGTTGAATTAGGTTTTAAATTGCTACATACAAAAATTATGGTGTTATTCCTCCTCAGCAAGCAGTTCAATCATAATAGTGAAACTGGAATAGGACATCAACCATCAGCTGCTCTTTACATCGCTGACTACCATATTAAAGGATTAGAGCTTCCATTTCAACAAACAATATTCCATTCAGGTATCCTTTAAAGACATTACAGAACAAATGAGTCATGTTTAACTTGTTACAGGACCTTCTTGGAATACCCACCATCTTATTCAAGTATAACGTAGGAATATTAGACTAAGAGCCAACATGAGCATGGAACAGCATAGGATGAGGAGAGAAGCACATAAAATGCCAACATAAGTTCAGTTCCATTCACAAATAGAATACCTTGTTAATTGCTTCTGACAAAGCGGTTGTAGTCAGGACCAGGCTAGCCTCATTTGACATGTCCTCACACGAGCCAGGCCACCATACAGAAGGCATCAGACTTTGAAGATCCTGCTTGTTAGGACTCTTCCGCGACAAAAACCCTTCAAACAAATGGTCAAAATCTGAAGATTTCCACCACAGTATCATCATTTCTTCCCGCCTTAAGATGTGGCATGCCAAAGCCAGATATGTATATGAACCTGAGTAAGGACAGTCTGTAAGGCTCAACGGTGCTGTTTTACATAAGGTCGAAAGTGCACTTATAATATGTTCAAACAAAATTCTTGACTCTGAGAATTCTAGTAAAGAATCGAGTATGCTGTCCAAACTCATATAGTCATGTGGAGGATGTATCCTAAAGACCTCCATTATCAGTGATAAAAGTGGGCCACAAGCTATGTACTTTGTGCTTCCATCTTCAGCAGCAAGTGCAGAGAATAACTCCTCGCATATCCCACGAGAGACAGGATGAGAAAGTTTTTCAAATGACACAAACCTTTTCAATCTTCGCAATTTCTCAACAGAACTGAACTCTGCCCTTCCCACACGCTGCATTTCAATTAGCCTTCCAAAACAATTAAGCAAATCAGTAGCAAGTGAACTTTTGGTTGGTGGAGGCTGAATGGGAAGAAAACCTTTCACTGGGTACCTGAAAGGAATTTCCCCGAAGTTTAACTCACAACGTTCACCTTGAGAAAGAGAAATTGCTGGATAATATCCCAATCCAGGTACCATCTTACGAATACCAATAAATGCTACACCAAGTGAAACTCCATTTCGGTAAAATGATATCTCATCACCATCCAAATCAATACAACATCCAATCACATCACCAACAACCCATGGCTGACCATAAGACTGAGCTTCCTTATTCCATTTACTGACCCTTTTTCCATCATATGCATATGAATCGTCAGCGTCACCCACACCCTTATGATCAGTGAATGGGCAGGAAAGAGTCGCCCAGCCTAGCTGTTGTATACCAGAAGTTTCAAGAGTTACTTCATACATCCATTTCCCTTTCCAGACACAAGCATTGGCCCTTGCACTGCTGAATAAAGAATGACTCTCCATGAGCAAGGGCGGTTTGACTATTCGAAGATCACCACATATGCTCGATTCTTCTATTTGAGTAACCTGATGTTTACAACCATCAGCAGCAGTCAAAACCCCTTCTCTTTTTCTCTCCATACCAGTCTTCATATTCATTTGGTACTTCAGGAATTCATTCTTTATGACTGAACGAACCACTTTAGCATCTATTGCACTAGAAAGTGGTTTGATAGATTTGTACGGAAGATCAAAGATGTGCTCAAGGGTTCTCTCCACAGATTGATCGCCAAAATCATCACAATACGAAATAAGACGAGTTTTCTGGGAACTCTCCTTCCTATTTTCGCCATTCAATACCACAGCCAACCCAGAAGAAAGGCCACCAATACGTATGCCGTCTTCTGCCATTAGCAAGAATAGTACTCCAACAGCAATCAATCTTCACTCGCCCCAACCGCGAAACAGCATCAAAAGTCTCCAGTCAAAACCGAGAAGCAGAGATATCAATCATTCAACTGCCTACCGAAAAATCCAAATCTCAAAATGGAAAGGACACTAACCCACTAAATATTTCCCTAGAAGCAATGAACTTACAGCTCTTTTCTCCTACAAAAGTAAAACAAACAAACTCAGAAAATTGATAAATAAAAAATAAAGGCTCTGAACTCCAATTAGAATTAATTGTGAGCTTTGACCTCCGGTTAATTGCAACTTTAACCTCTAATGATCGTTCAAACAGACTAAATACCTAATAGCAGTACTGTCAATACGATTTTGCATATACTCATCTCATTCCACCGCTTTCATAACCAGAAATCAAAACTTAAATCGTAGCAATTTCGAATTTAAATCACAATTCATACTGTACAAAATACCACAAAAAAATTAAAACAAATACGAATAAATAAATAAATAAAACAGTATAAGCTATCATAGAGGAAACAGAAATAATAGAAGTTCAAAATTCAACGCAAAAAAAAAATGAAAATAGTAGAAATACTTACAGGTAGAGAAGATACTATACATATAGAGCAAAGTGAAAGGCTTTTTTTTTTTTGCTTTAAGCTGTGGTGGTTCAAAGAAATAGAAGCGGCGGCTGAAGAACAGTGGGGTTATTCAAGTACGCCATTGATAAATGAAGAGAGAGAAAGCAGAAGAGTTTCTTCTAGAGAGAGAAGAGGAAATGAAGAGTTGGGATTTGATTTTGATTTTGGTTTTGTTTTTTCCACTTTCTGTTTTGGGGGTTTTTTTGTGTGTGTGTTTTGCTTGCCAAAAACTTGGGAAGTAAAAGAAGAAAATGAGCTACGGGGGAGGGGGCACAGACCATACGGCAATAACCCCCAACCCCTGGCGGCTAGGAGCAGGTGGTCAGTGGTGGCCCGAGTCATAAAATTTTATTCAAACTTTACTTTCCATGAATAATAATTTTAATTTTTTACACCAATAGTATTGTTTGATGGTCAACACATGAGACATTGTAATTCGACTTATAGGGTATAATTTTTTAAAAACAGTAATCTTCTGTAACAATACTTATAATGGTTAATGTTTTTTTGAAATTAATATTTTATGTTATGTTCTTTGTTGTAACAGCCAAAATATTCAGAACAAAGACGAAATTATATAGAAATTTTATATTTATTTTATTCTGTTTTCTTTAAAAATATAACTTGAGAATACGATTAAGCTGCGAGAAATTATAATTCAAATTATAGTGTCACGAGTTGAATTTGATATCAATGATCATGTTTTATTCTCTTCTCATGAGTAACAATCTAATAGTACAGTTTGAAGATCATGAAATTGTGATTCAAAATCATGGTGTTATGAACAAATTGCCAAAAGGAAAAAATAGAAAAAAGAAATGAGAATGTAAAGGAGGACCATAGACCGAGTGTGGGGCTAGGTGCTTAACAGCCCAACTTGCCCTGGTCCTGTTTCGGCGGGTTTACTACACAAGCCCTAGGACTATGGAAACACGTGGCAAATAAAAAGAGGGACCGAGCTAAAATGCACTTGTTGTCTGTATTGTACAGACTCTCCAAAATTATGCTGCATCATCTCGAATTCTCGGATTATATACTATTTTTGAAAAATTCAACATGTATTCGACTATATTTTTTAAAAGTCCGAACAACATATCTGGTTGCGTAGGCTACACAGAGGCGGACGCACATGATGAGTTGAGGGGTCACCGCCACCCAAAAACTTCGACAAAAACTTCATATATATTTGTCATGTCTTCAAAAAATAATCATATATTAGCATAGCCCCCTCCTCGTACCAATCTTTATAAACAGTGATATATTTATATTAAATGTTATGATACCCCGCCTCTGAGGCTACCCAACAGTGGCTACGGGTTACAACCTTAGCAAATCACTAACCGATAACCCCCGGGCAAATGCGAATTCAATATTAAAATATTATGGATTCAATCTTTAAGATTATTAGCATTTAACCCGTTATATTTTTATAAATTATGAGTTTATATTTACTACTTATTGTAATTTTAGTAAATATTTATATATAAATTTATATCGAACGTCGAAAGTTACGTGTGTGTTCAATTGAAGCTGTCCAACAATACTACATCAGCGCCTGTGTCCCCGGGTCAATTTGGTTATGATGCTAACCTGCGGATAGATTTGTTAGGAAATGTCTAGGATCTGATTCTCCCACAAACGAAAGGCTGTGTACTTTGCTTATTTTATCAACACGTGGCACTTGCACAGGATAATTGAATCTGTTTATGAATGGTTTAAAATTTCCTTTAGCTAGACCGAAATGAGTCGAGGAGTATCAACACACTTCTTACATGTTGAAAATAATTTTATAAATATATAATGTGTTGAACCTGAGAATAAGCAATATATGTTGATAAGGAGTAAATGTACAAGCCTAGAAGGGAATGATGATAGTGAAAATAAAATACAAATATAAGTATTTTGGAGATTATAAAAATATTATAAGAATAACGTTTGAGTCCCAGAAATTGAGGTTGGGTATATGAATTCTCGCTTTTTTATTTAAACTCAACTCATATCGTTTACACGATACTAAAAAAATATTATGGATAAGAGAGTAAAAACGTTGTTCAAAAATACTTATAAGTTAAAAATAAAACCAACTTATAACTTTTGAATAATTTTGACTTTTAAGCACTTTTAATATTTGTCAAACGTGTAAATAATAAATAAAAAATAAGTATTTATATATTGGGATGGCCATCTTATAAACTTACCCAAATACCCTTACTTCTAGTTCCTTAAAAAATAATCGCTTTTTACCCTTTCTTTTTGTGGTAATCACTATGATTAGTTTGGGAAGTGCCTTGCTTTTTCCCTAACAGCATATAGCTTGATAAGCTCAAATTCGATTAAGATCGGTTAAATCTAGATATATATTTCCTTTATAGGTTATCCTTTTTTTCTATTTTTCTTTTTTGTGGTAATCCACTACTATTAGTTTGGGAAAATAGGGAAGTTAGTTCTATGTATACATTTTCAAGTTTGGTCCAGTTTGTGTTTCAAAGCAAACCTATAGGGAAAGTTGGTTCCAATTTTGGTCCAGTTTCAGTGGTTTTTGTTTCAATTTTTTTTTTCGATTTCTGCAAAAATTGAAAATATTTAGTATTATTTAATGGTGTTTAGTTGAATAAAGATTTCAAAAAAGATTAAAAAAGGGTTTTACACATTTGGTTTCAAATCTAACCAAATGTCTTCACTCCCCATTCCCTCAGAAAAATAAAACTATTAAAGATTACTATAGCCTAAAAATANTATATATATATATATATATATTGTTGATTAAACTTTATGAAAAAAAAATTGTTTTAGTTCTATGAAGAGCCAATTACGGACTAAAGTATTTGACCCGTTTTTAGTTCATTAAAAAATTTTGATTAAGAATCGGTGCACACTTGATTAAAATGTTTGGTAGTTTCTTATAGTGTCGCCACCTAAGCTATTAAAATAAATGGAAAACAGACAACTGAAATACGCAAGATACCAAGAAAAGAAAATATTAATAATAACCTCTCCGAGTAAAAATGGCAACTTAATAATTTTATTTCACTCATGTTAATTATAATATAATATTTTCTTTGTATCTTGCGTATCTTTAAGAGACACATAAATACAACTCAACAACAATAATTATGTTTCAACTTCAGGTTAATTGAAGTTTAAATTCACTAACACTAGAACTCATCAAACTAATTCTGTTTAGTGAAGACAACAATTTTAATAGTGAAATTAATCATTTCTAAAAAGTTAAATTGTAAAGTGAACTAAAAGGAACCATTTCACATGAGTAAAGTTAGGAATAGTTCGATAAGATAAGAAAGGAAGTCTTAGCACGTGCATTGGCAAAATCATGTAGTTAAATTTTAAATCATACATGATTAGCATGGCAATTGCTTATTGTTTGGAAGTGGATATGATATGGCCCTCTTAAGTATCTATGTTGGGTCCCATTCATTTTGAAAATCTCATTTCTCTTAAGGCCCGTTTGGACATAAGAATTTATTCATTTTTTTCGAAAAGATTTCACCTTTTCTCGAAATCAATTTTTGGCTATAAAATTTTTAATTTTCACTTGAAGATGAATTTTGGAATTTTTCGAAAATTTAAAAAACTCCAAAAAGTTATTTTTCAAAATTTTCACTCACAAAACTTCAAAAACAACCCAAAATTATATTCACGTCCAAATATAACTCTAATTTTCAAATACCATTTTCACTTGAAAAAAATCTCACTTTTTTTTTGAAATTTTATAATTCTTATGTCCAAACGCCCACTGTTTGGCACGAAGCAAAACATATTCCTTAGAAAATATTTTCTTAATATATAAGTGATTTTCTTAAGGAAGCAGAAAATATTTTTTTAAAATATATATATATTAGGAAACAGTATACGATACGAAATGGATAAGGCCAGGGGAAGGTATAAGGTCGGGGTCTAGGAACGGGAGTGGCGGTAGTGATATTA